GATTTTCAGAGAGCTCGGCGCCACCTCTCAAAGCATTACTTTTCAGCTTTTAAATTCAGTTAAAGATGGGTATTGGCGTCGCGTCAAGGCGCACCTCAAGCGCAAGCATTGCCCTCACTTGCGGTGCAATCGGGCGTCCTCTGCACAGCTGTGATTCGCTTGCGTCGTATCGCGCCGCGCGTTGCTCGGTGGTGCTGTGTGCTTCCGGCCAAGCTGCAAGGCATGTCAGCCAGGGAATGCCAGCCAGATCGTGCTTTGGACACCCACGTGACTTGCACTGTGCGACTGGCACTGCAAGCACAAGGCTGCGAGGATGCCACCCCGTGGCCCTCACACCTGAGTAAACCGCATGCATTTTTCCCAGCTCAAACATGGGCCTGTGAGAGCGGGTGTTGCTGGGTTACATGTGACCTGGGTGGCAGCGTATGGGCAGCCGCTGGGCCCGAGGTGGTGCCCTCACCTGTGGCGTGGGCCTTGCTTGATTGCTGAATGACATGCGCAGCCTCAACTGAGGTTCCTCAACGCTCTGTTGCTATACAAGCTACACCACACAACCGCCAATGCATCGCGTCAGCACTAAGCATCGGCACTGGGGGTGACAGCAACCGCTGCAAAGCCTGGAAAAGTCTGCAGATGCTCGCAAGCTACGCGCAGCTCGTGAAAGGTGCAGCGATGCGCCCGCTGGCATGATTGGCGCCAGCTGTCAAACGCAGGACGGGCCTGGTACAACAGGTACCCACGCGATTGGGTTGAGGTGCCGGCGCGCGCGATGCCCAACCGCGCGGCCGCGCCAGAACCACAGTGGATCGCACGCAGGTGGCACACAGCAGCAGATGGCGTACACAAGTGCAGTTTTTGAGGCACGAGCTGGGCCCAACAAACTCCTTTCTGACAGAGGGCCCAGCAACACACACAGTTCGGCGCACGTACAAGCACAGGGGCCGACGGGCAAGAACGCGGGGTCGAACAAAACACACCACTGCGCCCAACAATTCTATGCACTCCCCAGCCTCCGCAGCTGCACTGAAGGCGCGCGACAGCAGGGGCCTGCGGCGCTCGGCATGGAATGATCAAAGGCCTTCTTTGGCGACTACGTGCAATACGGGTGCCTCTCGGGTGATGCCCAACCACCTGGTGACGCCCAACCACCTGGTGATACCCAACCACCTGGTGACCCGGGGCCCACAAGGGCGCCTCAGGGTGGAAAACGATGCGGATGTTGCGTTGCGGTGTGTGCAAGGCAGGCAGGGGCCTGGCGGCGCGGCGCCTGCGAGAAAGGGCGCACGTCTGACGCGAGGCCGTGTTGTAGGCGGCCCACACGTTCTGCGCGTGCAAGCATACGCCCGGCTGCAAAGGCGGTCGCTTGTCACTTCAGATGCAGTAGGAGGGGCAGTGGCGACGACCAGGCGCCCCGGGGCGATGCCCAACCGCCCAGGGGTGCCAGTGCCACACAATATGGTCATGTCAACTGCAGGGATCTGTCAGCACTACACGCTTCTCTTCTTCCTTCTTCAACCAAACAGGAATGCACGCTTCTCTTCATCCTTCTTCAACCAAACACACAGCACGGCGAGAGGATGGAATGTGGGTGCAAACTTGAATGTTGGTGCCACCAGAGAAAGCCGATTGGGAGTTGCGTGATCACCCCCTAGGCGCCCCCCTGCCGTCCGTGGCCGCCCTGCCTGTGTGATGCCCAACCACACGGCAGCCGGGAAGGCAAGAGCGACAAACAAGGGATTCACGCAGGTCAGATCCGCCGAGATCAGTTCGAATACGGCCGAACAAGTGCGCACAAGCGCACATGCAGGGCGGCGGTCAAGGGCAGCGGGCCCACGTGTGGGGGCCTGTCAACTGGCTCCACAGGGGAGCGTTGCATTGCGGGGTTTGGCTAGCGGCCTGTGTGGTCTGTGCACCCAAATGAGATTGGCTGAGAGCGGCAGCATGGGTAGGCTCTGGAGAGCCCAGGGGGTGCGAGGGTGCGAAACGAGCGTGCGGCTACAAGTGTGTCAAAGGCTTGATCCACCGCGCCGGGCTTCCCTCGAAGAGAACTGGCCTGCCGCGCGTCATCTGGCGCCCGGCCGGACCCGATCGGCGGTCGGCGCGCGGGCGCGCACCGGGGCAGGCAGCTGCACCCAGGCGTGCGGGAGGCGCGCGGCGCGCATGGCAGCCGCAAGCTGGGACCCTTGTGAAGGGCGATGACGAGTGGCGCGGGGGTAGCCGCCCGCAAGGGGCGACAACTGGGGCTCCCCCAAAAGCCGAGGGCTCCACAGGGTTCCCACGAGCAGTTTGGGGGCCGCCCCAGGAGCGACGGAGCCACCGCGCAGTGGGCCGTGATGCCACCACCACACAGCAGGCCTCGTCTGTCGGGCTGAAGGAGCTCACCCCAGGGCGACAGCGTGGTGGAGGGGGAGGGGCCTCGGAGGGCTCAGGCTGCACCGCCTGCCTTCTGTGCTGCCCCGCCCCCTTCCCTGGGCCTCCCGCCCCGAGTCACAGTATAGGCGCATGCACGGCGTCCGCCACCCCGCCGCTGATATGATGTGGCCAGGCGTGCCCTCATCGCATGCTAGGCCTGGCCGCGTGCTGCATGTGAAGGTCCATCTTGCCGAAGCTGGGCGCCAAGATGTCGAACAGGCCGCCTGAGGGGAGATCGCGAGAGCACAAGGGTGACCAGAAAGGGCGGGGGACACTTGAGAGGGTGTGGCGACATGTGGCGCCCGCGGAGGGCCGCGTGTTACATGCAGGATTCCTTCTAAAACGCAACGCCCTCCAGCTCAGCAGATCCCTTGCCGGCAGCCCCGCGGCGCCCTCTGTTGCCCCAGCAACCCCGCACGATCCACGGCCCTCCTCCGTGCCAATCCCCTTCCCCCAGTCTCTCTGGCCGCCGGAGGCCCCTTGCCCCCGAAAACGCCGCCCCAGACCCCACGCACCCGGGTTGTCCGTGTGCACCCAGTGCCCCGCCTCCAGCGCGTGCACGCGGTGCCCCAGCGCCGCGATGCGCCCCTCCGCGCCGCCCTCCCATCGGAAGGTGCTGCGGGTGGCCTTGACAAAGTCGACCCTGAGGCCCTGTGGGGGCGCCTGCAGGAGGTCCCAGAGGTCTGTGTCCTCATAGGACGCGTACATGTCTGCGATGCCATCCAGGTCGAAGGACCACGTCAGGCCGCCGCCCTCGGCGGGGCGGAGGTTGGTGGTCATCCTGCAAGGAGGGGGAGGGGGGGAG